TGATGTGTTTTCCAAAATTTCCAAATTCCTCCAAAACAATAAAAAGCAGCTACTGAGAGCTATAAAGGACAAGCTTTCAACATGTCACTAAAGGCATCAAACCATCACACCGCGCTGGGATTTCAAAATAAAAGACCCGTATCAATAAATTCTACGCCCAACATATCAAAATAATGAAATACGACACAAATAAAGATTCTAAATTAATTTGAACGAGTTTAATAAAATACTTAATATTAATAATTTTAGATACGCCAATTATTTAAAAAATATATATCATCTAGCCGCTTGTACGTTCACGTGTCTTCTGCACTTCCGGGTTAGAGTTAAAAAAAACATCGATGGCGGCCACATGCTTTTTGGAACGGTGAATTAGATCAGTATATTATAACAAAAACAGAATGAAGGACACACCGCTGTCCAACTGCGAGCGGGACTTCCTGCTTAAAGCCATCGAAGAGAAAAAGGTGGGTGCGATAATCAGCACGCGCTGTTATTCGTGTGCGCGCGCGCAGCCTGAGGATTTAACATGATGGACATATATCAGTGTCCTATCCTAGCATCGTTGCTCTGTTTTAGAGAGGATTGATGCGTATTATAATGCCTTACCATAGCACACCTACAGGCTTTCATCCGCACTCATGTGTCCTGTTTCTGTTCTCTTCCTTCAGCGCCTGGATGGACGGCAGACCTATGACTACAGGAAGATTAAGATCAGCTTTGGGACTGACTATGGGTGCTGCTTTGTGGATCTGGGACAAACCAGGTGAAGCTGCAGCCACATGTTTGCAATCGTGTGCCAAACTGAGCATCTGTGTACACTGAGCTCTGTATTCACTGTACGGCTCCCCGCAGGGTCATGGCGCAGGTGTCGTGCGAGCTGGTGGCTCCTAAAGAAAACCGACCGAATGAAGGAATCATGTTCTTCAACATCGAGCTGTCCCCGATGGCCTCACCGGGATTTGAGCAGGGAAGGTGAGGACGAACCTCACTCTTTGAATTCAGCTCATTCATTTATGTTCGCTGGAATATAAAGAAATAAGCTTGGGGTTTTTTTTCCTATGGAGTGTAGGGACATTGTTCCTGAATTTAATTAGATCTGGTGACTGGAAAGCATCCATAATAAGCTTCCATGTTCTGAGGCCGTGGTTCCCAGTTGGATGAGGGTGGAGTACCGATTGGGTTGGGGATGTATGCAGCGGGAGACTGATAAAAGGACTGGTGGCACTTTTGTTTTGGTGAGGAGAAAGGTTACCATGAAACAACA